GGAGGCTTGTAGACTACCACAATGACTAGGTTTTGGTTCTCGATCTTTACTGCTAAAACTTCCACTACATCATTTGAGGCATTAAGCAGTTCTGTGCAAACAAGTGACTCTGCAATGTACAGGCCAACCCCCCCCCCCTTTTGCCTGTTCACTCTGTCACACCTGTATAGGTTGTATCCTGGGATCCATATTTCGTTGTCCAAGTGATCCTTTATGTGGGTCTCAGTGAAAGCCGCGAACATTCCCTTTGCCTCTGCAAGCAGTCCACGGATGAAAGGTATTTTGTTGTTTGTTGCTGGCTTTAGACCCTGTATATTTGCAAAGAAGAATGTTATCGGACTGGTGGTATTGTTGGTACTGGGGTGATAGGTGATAATAATGATAGGAATGGCATTCAAATTAAGAATAGCCTAGTTATTATGAGAAAGGAAGACTGAATAGGAAAATTCACACATGTATATTAACTGACACTGAGAGTATTTCCATAATATTCTGGAAGGTTCTGAGACACCGTTGACAAATGAGGGATTTTTTTCGCCTCTATTTCATTAGTTTGAAGTTTGTAAATGAAGGTATGTAATGATCCAATATTGTAACTTTTTACGTCACATTACCTGTTCCTGGCGGTTAGAAGCTTGGGGCTGGGTATTAACTATCTGCTAATACTTTCCTCATGTTAACTGCAAACTGTGAGTCCTACTCTACCAAACCCCATATGGGGTGGGGTGTGGGGGGGGACCGGTGTGTGGGATGGCATCCTGCTTGCCTGTCCCAGACAGACTGAGACTGGCCGGTGCCTCCACACTACCACTCTGAAAACTTATCCTACTTCTGTTGTTGTCTTTGCAACATTGCATAGCTCCTGATGACGCACTGAGAAGTATGAGTGCTTGAGCTAAAGCTTGTCTTGCATTGTTAAGATCGCCTGTCTGCGATTGTTTTGCATATATAAATATATGTAATATATATACATATATATATATATATATATATATATATATATATATATATATATATATATATATATATATATATATATACATATATATATATATATATACATATATATATACATATATACATACATATATATATATATATATATATATATATATATATATATATATATATATATATATATATATATATATATAATATAGGGAGGTACCACCTCTAGAACTGTCATAGGGACCCTCATCCTCAGAGAAAAGAATAAACTTGCTTCAGGGAAAACTCAAGGTTCTCCCTGAAGCTGTTTGAGAATTTTCTCCTACCACCCCCTATATTTCAAGTATGTTTTATTTAAAGACAAAATATATTGGCCAAACATTCACAAAAATACAACAGAAAGTAAAACAACATAGGTAACTCAGAGCTACATCTCGAATACTTCGTCCAGCTCCCCTGCGGTGGGCCTCGTGCCCAGAATGCTGCAGGCATTTCCTCTCTGGATCGCAACACTGAGTCTCTGAAAGAGGAAGCTGGTCGTCCTGTGGTCCTTGGTTTCTATGATGAGCTTTTCACCCAGCTCTTTGAGGAACTTTAGAGCACACTTGCCCCATGCTCCAAGGGTCTCCGACCCTATTGGAATGAAGTTATAGCAAGGGGAAGGTCTTCATATTTTCGGATCTTCTGGGTCTCCCTGTGGCTGGCAGCTCCACCCCCTTCCACTACAGAGTATGGCAAGTAGGTGTCTGCCAATGTGGCAGCACAGGTGTAGTCCCAGGCAATCTGCTTTCCATCCTTCCAGGGTAGCATAGTGGCTCCATCAGGACGCTTTTGACTTCCATCAGACCTCTGTACTTGGGGTTCCCGTTGAGCTGGGCAACGGGCTGTGGCGAGGCTTCTCTTTATTATGTCATTGATCTCCTCATGTCTGGCATACTTCCCTTCTGCTGTGTGGCACACGAGACCATGAAGCCCAAATTGATCAGCTGTCGCCCTGCCGCAAATACACCTATGTTCGGTGAGGATGGGGGCGGCTAGGCGAAGAGCAACACCAATCCGAATGGCCTGTGGGTCGAGACGGGTGCCAAGGGAGGAATTGGGAACAGCTAACAGGAAATCTCCTGAGTGTGGTGCCTTCACTGCCAGGAGACGAGCTTTGTTCTTTCCTGAAGCATTGGAGAGCATTGTGTAGGCGAGTTTTTCCATGATCGGTTTGTCCCAGTGGGACTGTTTGTGCTGTTTGGGAGGAGGTGGTCTACTGGAGGAGTCTGTAAGGGTGTCCCACCGAATCGCTGCTTCAGTAAACCTGGGGTCTTGAGCTCCTACCAAGTCTCTCAAGCGTTCGGGCACTATCTTCTTGACTAATGCACTGGAAGCCAAACACGAAGACAGAAAAGCAGGTAAAGCAACATGCGTTGCTTTGCGCACCCCTATACCTCCCAGTCGCACTGGGAGGGTTGCCTGATCCCATTGCTCATCCTCTAGTGACAGGTTCAGTGCCTTCTTAAAAGTTATCTCAGGTGTGCGTCATATTCATCGAGTGTTGGGTTGTCAAAAGAGGGTGCACACCTCAAGAAGTAAGTGAGTCTTGGCATAGTAAGACACCTTGTGAGGAGATACAGAACATCATGGGCATCAAGATCGCTTATTCTCTCCTCCATTCTTATCAGGTCATTCAATTTGTCCCTGAGGACAGTATCGATGGCCTGGTGACCCAGCGGTGCCCCAAGAGGGTACTGTTGGACGGAGTTGTAGTTGAGACTTCTGGGAGGATTCTTCGCACAGCATTGATTATTTCTTGGTTCGCTGTGATGATATATATATATATATATATATATATATATATATATATATATATATATATTATATATATATATATATATATATATATATATATATATCTCCCATCTTGTTCCTCATCCTCATATCCGACATAGACAAGGATGTCAGCCACAGCACCGTGTCTTCCTTTGCAGATGACACCCGAATCTGCATGACAGTGTCTTCCATTGCAGACACTGCAAGGCTCCAGGCGGACATCAACCAAATCTTTCAGTGGGCTGCAGAAAACAATATGAAGTTCAACGATGAGAAATTTCAATTACTCAGATATGGTAAACATGAGGAAATTAAATCTTCATCAGAGTACAAAACAAATTCTGGCCACGAAATAGAGCGAAACACCAACGTCAAAGACCTGGGAGTGATTATGTCGGAGGATCTCACCTTCAAGGACCATAACATTGTATCAATCGCATCTGCTAGAAAAATGACAGGATGGATAATGAGAACCTTCAAAAACTAGGGAGGCCAAGCCATGATGACACTCTTCAGGTCACTTGTTCTATCTAGGCTGGAATATTGCTGCACTCTAACAGCACCTTTCAAGGCAGGTGAAATTGTGGACCTAGAAAATGTACAGAGAACTTTCACGGCGCGCATAACGGAGATAAAACACCTCAATTACTGGGAGCGCTTGAGGTTTTTAAACCTGTATTCCCTGGAACGCAGGAGGGAGAGATACATGATTATATACACCTGGAAAATCCTAGAGGGACTAGTACCGAACTTGCACACGAAAATCACTCACTACGAAAGCAAAAGACTTGGCAGACGATGCACCATCCCCCCAATGAAAAGCAGGGGTGTCAATAGCACGTTAAGAGACCATACAATAAGTGTCAGGGGCCCGAGACTGTTCAACTGCCTCCCAGCACACATAAGGGGGATTACCAACAGACCCCTGGCAGTCTTCAAGCTGGCACTGGACAAGCACCTAAAGTCAGTTCCTGATCAGCCGGGCTGTGGCTCGTACGTTGGTTTGCGTGCAGCCAGCAGCAACAGCCTGGTTGATCAGGCGCTGATCCACCAGGAGGCCTGGTCACAGACCGGGCCGCGGGGGCGTTGACCCCCGAAACTCTCTCCAGGTAAACTCCAGGTATATATATATGCAATAAGATCACAGTAAACAGGTGATTTCAGAATATGCAAAACAACCACTCTGAAAGAATAGAGAAATTCCAAGCGCTTTCGTGACTACTCACATTATCAAGGAACATTATCAAGGAACATAGTTCCTTGATAATGTGAGTAGTCACGAAAGCGCTTGGAATTTCTCTATTCTTTCAGAGTGGTTGTTTTGCATATATATATATATATATATATATATATTATATATATATATATATATGTATATATATATATATATATATATATATATATATATATATATATATATATATATATATATATATATATATTATATATATAATCGAGGCTTAAATATTTAAATCTGCGAATTAAAAAATCAAGAACATTCATAGAAATTCAAAAGAAAGAAAAAAGTTAAGATGTAAAAACTGAAAAAGAAAACTGTACGAGCATTGTCACGTAAGTAACAATACACTGAGCAATGTCAGCCAAACAAATAACACCAACAATAAACAGTATCATAGACATAACATTTCCACACAATTTAATTTGGACTGAGTCCGACTATTGAGGTCACCGCCTCTATAACACAATCATCTCCTTAGTAATAATAATAGTCGATTTTTTTATTTGAAATCGTTGGTGAAATCCGATAAGCGGACTAAGCGGCCGGTTAGAGCCCCGCCTATTGAGGGGCTCACAGATTAACTATTGGTTTCCTAACCCTTCATGATTTACGCTCTTATCTCTAACGGTTTATGGTCGCACAAGGTTCCCTGCACCACCATAAATACTTATTTGCATATTACGGAAACCGTTTTGATTCTGAAATCAAAAGGCATTTTTTTAAGTTTTTATCTTTTGTTGACTGTGCATTTCTGAAAAAGCAATTTAAATGACAACATACTCGTAGCAGTGGGTCAGCAACACTCACAATCTATCGTCCGGCTGGCTCTTTACGTTAAATTTAATTTCCATTAGTGGAATAGATGTCAGCAGAGAGGAGGGATGGGGGCCTGACATGGCCCCCTAAATGTTCCTCCGCTGAGGGTCCCTGGACCTATAAATCTGCTATACAGAAAGGTCGTTTTGGCCTTGTCATACTTATTTTTATTTTACAGATACAAATGGATTTTTCTCGATTCGCTCTGTAGACTTCGTCCTGTACGGTCACAGACGCTCCTGCGCATCTCAAACAGTCTCCCTACGATCCCCGTTGGGTAGGGGAACCTCTACCATCTCCACGATGTCTCATCGTGTGAGGATTAAACCCAAGACTGCTGTCATCAACGATGCCACGAAGTTTGAACTTGCATCCTCTGTTCAGTCTAGTCTGAGAGTTAAGTTCTCGAACATTACTACTCTGAAAGAAAAAGGACACAAGTGCAACTAATGTGACATTTTATTGTGGCAACGTTTCGCTCTCATGGAGAGCGAAACGTTGCCACAATAAAATGTCACATTAGTTGCACTTGTGTCCTTTTACTTTACATATTGTCGGTAATTCTACCAACTTTATTACACTCTGAAAGAAGCTTTCCTTATCACCTTTCTTGATGATGAAGAAGCAGACAAGGCACTCACTCCTGCTGCACTGAAGATCTTAGATGACCGTGGCTTTACCATCTCTACCTCAGCTTACATGCTAGCTAAACGGTCAGTGTTTATGAAACGCCTTGATAAGCTCATCACGACCATGTCTCCCTACGAAATTAAGTCATCCATTGAAGATCTTAACGCCTGGGCCAAGATTGACTCTGTTGTGAAGATCCCCAATGCTTCCTCGATGCTCAAGGTCACGTTTCTGGACGTCACCATGGCAACCAGAGCATGTCTGATGGCCTGGCCATCTCCTACTACTTTATCAACCCTCGTCAAATTGAACCAGAACGCTTCAATCATGTAACATCTTGCTGGATATGCTACTCCTACAATCATTCAACTGCCTAATATCATGTGAAGAACAAGAAGATCTGTTCCACCTGTGGGTCTGAAGGTCACGACTTTCGTTCCAGCACCTCAACTGCTGCTCCCACTTGCATCAGCTGTAAGAGTGACCACCATACAATGGCAGCCAAATGTCCTGTTCGTAAAGAGATCCTTTCAAAGAAACTAAAGGAAGACCTGAAGAAGACTATAGGAAACTCTCCTATTTATGCTGCTATAGCTAAGCGTCAGACGACCACCACCAAAATTCTACAAGCCACTCAGCAGCCTCCACTACTCACCGCCTCTCCTCTACCAGATATTTCAACAAAATTCTACTACTGCCTGATGTATGCACACATGCAAAATGCAGCTAACTCGGGTTGTTTCAATACTACTATTAATGAAATTCTTGCCCTCAACAATCTGCCATCATTCAACTTCCCAGCTAGTCCTGCTTCAGCTGATGTTTTGAAGATTATTCCAAAAATCGTCAGTTTCGAGGCAACAGATGACTTGCAAGATATGATTTCTGCAGAAGCTACCTGCTCTACTTCGCAATCCACCAAGGAGAGACCATCTCCACCTCAAGCCACCACCACTACTACGGACCAATCAGAGGCCTCGCTGCCCGTCGAGCCTCCACCAGCACCCACCAATGAGAGACCACCTCCACCTTCTAACACCAACCAACCACCGACCTCACCTGCCTCTGCGACCAAGCCAGCCTTCCTCAATACGCTTGGTGTCTCGTTCTACACCACGAAACCACACAATAACGCAATGCTTGTCCACGAACTCGTCCACCGGCTCCAAGAAGGGACTGTCAAGTTCACCTGTACCACAGAACGACCCATCGGGCTAAACGTTATAATCCACCACCTCTGCCATCCGGGTCCAGATCCAACAATCCCCTTCAAAGTGTACCATCTCTCAAGAACGAAGTTCACCAATCTCTCCAATGGCCCAGTTGCATAACTAGCTTGCGACTATTCACTGCCTAGCTGACAATCCAGCCTGCCCTGCTGCATCACCAAAACAACTCATCCTGCTTGCTGCCTTCTGACACTCCCAGCTCCTGCCGCCGCCTTCGCCATCCTCTCCTTGTGAACCAAGTACCAACGTCGTTCAACCCTCTCCATCTACGCCTGCAGTACCTCTGTACCACATGCACCAAAGTGGTTGGGCCACTTGCCTATTTTCCTCCTCTCCTCCTCCCTCCCATCCTTTTCCAGTATTTCCATCCTTCCTGATCCTTCTTCCTTCCCATCTCATGACAGCTCTGGTCATCTTCATGATTCATGCTTTTGCTAGATGTGTTTCGACTGCTACCCAATCTGCTGCAGTTTCCTGAAAAATAAACCACTAGTACTCAACCCAGGCATGAGATGAGAAATTTCAATTATTCAGATATGGTAAACATGAGGAAATTAAATCTTCATCAGAGTACAAAACAAATTCTGGCCACAAAATAGAGCGAAACACCAACGTCAAAGACCTGGGAGTGATCATGTCGGAGGATCTCACCTTCAAAGACCATAACATTGTATCAATCGCATCTGCTAGAAAAATGACAGGATGGATAAGTAGAACCTTCAAAACTAGGGATGCCAAGCCCATGATGACACTCTTCAGGTCACTTGTTCTATCTAGGCTGGAATATTGCTGCACACTAACAGCACCTTTCAAGGCAGGTGAAATTGCTGACCTAGAAAATGTACAGAGAACCTTCACGGCGCGCATAACGGAGATAAAACACCTCAATTACTGGGAGCGCTTGAGGTTCCTAAACCTGTATTCGCTGGAATGCAGGCGGGAGAGATACATGATTATATACACCTGGAAAATCCTAGAGGGACTAGTACCGAACTTGCACACGAAAATCTCTCACTACGAAAGCAAAAGACTTGGCAGACGATGCAACATCCCCCCAATGAAAAGCAGGGGTGTCACTAGCACGTTAAGAGACCATACCATACCACCTGGTGGTTCACACTTACACTCACTCACTCATTTGACCATAAACGGAAATATTAATCTCAGTCTTAAAATAATGAATCCTGTGATACTCCAATACTGAAACTATGTACTGTGCCAAAACAAAAGCATTCACATTGCTAAACTCACAAACTAGTATTTAGTCACTTAGCCATAATACCAACTTTCCTCATAATTTGTAATATTTTACAATTAAGAATAAAACTAAGTATGCCCGAAATGCCTAGCCATGCTAAGCGTTCTAGTGGTACACTCTGTAATCACAATTTTACTACATGTAAACCAAACAATAACCAAATTTTGTAAACTCAGCATTGTAATCCTTATAGAGAATAAACTTTGAATACAATAAGTGTCAGGGGCCCGAGACTGTTCAACTGCCTCCCAGCAACATAAGGGGGATTACCAATAGACCCCTGGCAGTCTTCAAGCAGGCACTGGACAAGCACCTAAAGTCGGTTCCTGATCAGCCGGGCCGTGGCTTGTACGTTGGATTGCGTGCAGCCAGCAGTAACAGCTTGGTTGATCAGGCTCTGATCCACCAGGAGGCCTGGTCACAGACCGGGCCGCGGGGGCGTTGACCCCCGGAACTCTCTCCAGGTAAACTCCAGGCAAAAAAAATAGTACAGGGTGGAACATAAGCTTTTAACGTAGGTAATTTATAAAATTCATTGAGAAATGTAGCTCAGTCTTCCAAAGAGGTCCAGGAACTGTAGATTAGATCTTCACAAAGCCCAGAAAATTTAGCTAAACACACTCAAGAAGTCTGACTTCCATCGTTGAACACCGTCAAGTGCCTAGGCACACGAGATCAACACTCTCAAGAGAGACAAAAACTGGAACTCAACCCAGAACAGGGAAAATATTTATGCATTAAAGCAGTACACAAAATATTGTGTTTATACGCATGTTTATTAGACTAAAATACACCAACTATCAAATGACATTTATGAACGAGTAAAAATCATTAACAAGATAAACCATACCACGGGTGGGGTTAGAACCCACGATCAGAGAGTCTCAAAACTCCAGCTAGCCACATTGTGGCCAGCTGGTCCAGTGGCTAACGCGACGGTCTGGAGTTTTGAGACTCTCTGATCGCGGGTTCTAACCCCACCCGTGGATTGGTTTGTTTGCAATCGTGTCATTACGATTTCGTGAGTCACATTAACAAGATGATAAAGCAAGATCAAATTAAGATATTTATTTGAAATATATTTTAAATATGTTTCTGTATTATGTGAAGGGGCAAATATTTTAATTTTGGCAAAATTAAAATCATCATAAAAAGATGTATTTTCATAATTTTTAGAAAATTTTAGCATTTTTATTTCAGTTTAAATTCTCTACAAATCTATGTAAAAAAATAATATGGTTTAAAATAACAGACAGTATATTCCAGAGCTACAAAATACGCACATTTCATGGGTTGAAATATAACTGGGGAAACTGACACCAACAAAATGGAATCCATAACTTCTTCAGCAATAACCAGGTCAGTACCCTAGTAGAATCGGTCACTTGGCTTGAAAGGATCTCAGGTGTCTCCTGTGAGCCTGGGCCACTGCTCTCTCTTGGGGAGAATATTTTAATTCAACACTGTCTAAAGAGCATTTTTAAGAGGAAATTTGAGAAAAAATTTAATATTTATGTAAAATGTAACACTGATTTTTCGAAATATTTTAATTTTTGTGGGGGGAGGGGGGGGTTCAAGTATATTTAGAAAACTCCAAATTTTTACACTAAAATTCAATAAATTTGGTTAAAAAAATTTAATTTATTGCAGAGGTTCCTGAACTTATAGATATTAATAAACTTTTCATAGCTAATTTTAAAAAATAGTGAAGTATTATTATTGAGGAAAATACTGTATATATTTTCCAGAAATATGGTTATTTATATGTAAATAGATGGCCTATATTGTATTTAATAAAATTTATGTTATCGAAAACGGGAAGCTGCGCCTGCGCAGGACACTCGCCATTTTGTTTGAATTGAATAACAGACGTTGTGAATAATGGGAAGAATTTTTCGTGCTCTAGAGGTTAAAATTGAGCTGATACCCCTCAAATAGGAGGCGAAATTGTTGGATGTGCATTCCTGCATAACTTGAGATATCAGGCGACAGGACAGGACAACTCCAGGAACCTCAGATACGCTGTCTAATTTATGTTTAAATTCTGGTCAGTAAATTTTTCATAAATGTAGGCAAAAGGGGGGGTCCTGTACA